TTCGCGCTTCCTCGTGCACCGGTTACACGCTTGTTACGCATGCGCTTGTTCTCATACTTTGCTCGTTCCCTTTCCTTCCTTCTTTTCTTCTCGCTTTTGGATATTTTCGAAAGTATCCAAAAATAAATATCAATAAAACTCGTGGACATTTTTATATTCCGTGCTCGATCATTCTCTCTTTACTTATATTTTTTTTATATAAATTTTGTATTACATTTGAATCACTATAAAAGGAATATTGTATTGTATTGGAATATTAAATATGAAATTTTTATGAAGAATTCCACATACACTATTATATATTTAAAAATTTGTTTATCTTCCAATTTCTCGATCCTATTGGTGCTAAATAGAGAATAAGGAGTATAGATATTTTGTATATATAAATCGAAATGGGAAAATAAAGGATTGCAATGACAATTAAAAAAATATATTTCAAATAAATATCTATAAACGATTATAGTTTAGAAAAATTTTTTGTAAAATTTGATAAATATGTGCGTAGATTATGCAGAAGAAATTTAAATAAAAAAACAGTAATAATTGAAAAATTATTAAGCGAAAATACATGATCCATAACGTCGACAGTATTCGCAGTAAGATGCTTATTTTGCGCACACTGTTGCTGCTCGTTCTTAGCGAGAAACGCACTTGACCTGCTCTCCATAGACACAAGTGTATCCACTGTATACTTACGTATCGTACGTCGCGGCTATTATGGATATATCCCGCGTGATGTACGATGCTCCTGAAGCCGGCCTTTCGCCAATGATCGCGAGATTTTATCCGGAGTGGAAAGTTGACAAGTCTTCCATTGCCACGTTCCTCGAGCCTTCTCGTTATTGTAAAGAGGGGGTTTTTAACGTACAACAAGTTCCCTTGTTGAAACTCTGAATCAAAGTGAATGTTTAACGCTCGTAAGAATGAATGTATTTACTTATCTATTTATTTACTTTACTAGTCGTTTAGGATTTTAACCAGTAGTGTTTTTAGTTGAAATGATAATATATATATGTGTGTGTGTGTTGGTGATTTTATTTTATTGTCATATCGATTTGTTCATCGACCGCATTTCTCAAAATTATCTATATAAATATTTTTAAATATTGAATCTATAAGGATAATTTTATGACGTGTTGACAAGTAGAAAGGATAATATGATAAGTGAATAGATAAATTAAAACGTCCAAAATGAGAGGATGTATTTATTAACACAAGTTTCTAATCTCTTAATAGGCATCACATTTTTTTATTTTCAAACGAAGTGTATAAGTATGTTATAATGTTCTACATTTCATTTTCATAATTGTATTAAAAAATATTATCTTTTACAGTCACTATTCACATTTTTCACATTTCTTAATCCCACTATCAATTGAATTAAATATCCATGAACTTTGATTATCTGATTTAATCGGGAGATAAATTATTTCAGATAAGCAATTTTTTAAACAATTCGTTATGAAGAATTAAATTTGTGAATATGAATTACAAAATGAGTAAAAATAAATTAATATGCATCACATTTTTTTATTTTCAAACGAAGTGTATGTTACAATGTTCTACATTTCATTTTCATAATTAAAAAATATTATCTTTTATAGTCACTATTCACATTTTTCACATTTCTTAATCCCACTATCAATTGAAATATTAAATATACATGAACTTTGATTATCTGATTTAATCGGGAGATAAATTATTTCAGATAAGCAATTTTTTGAACAATTCATTATGAAGAATTAAATTTGTGAATATGAATTACAAAATGAGTAAAAATAAATTAGATATATTTCTTGAAATATAAAAATTTTCAAGTACCTCTATCGAACAAATAAATCAAAAATTAAAATCAAAAATTATAATTTTTAATAAGAAACAAATTTGAATAATTATAATTCCTATAAACGTCAAAAATGATAAATTAAAAATTCACAATGGAAACTTACTTAAGATTCCATTATTAAATAATTACAAAATGGTTTTAAATGGCTTTTAATTTTTTTTCCTTCTTTAGCAAGTAAATATCATAATACAAGCAACACAAAGTTCGGATAACACATATTATCAAACCCACCATTGTATCATTTCTGATAACAAAAATCTGTCAGGATCTGTAACACAATCGATACATCGAAACACGTACATTGGCGCGTACATTGGCCGCGAGACGATAAATCTCCTCGTGCTTCTGGTTACCTGGTGTAACTCGGCGAACATATCGATACACGCGTATAATCTTCGATTGGCACGGAACAGAGCAAAAAGGGTCGAGAAAGCGAAAGAGATCTCGGTCGATAAATCGATCTGGCATCACCGTCCTTGTCGTCGTCGTGATCCCCTCTCATCGCGAAAACGCAATTACGGTCGCGTGCGGAATTTCTCTTCCGGCCAATATTTCAGCTCGCATCCCCGCGGCTGCATTGTGCATACATTATCGGGTATAAAGTCACGCGCAACGGCATGAATAATAATCGGCGAGTCGGTCTGATTATAGCGCGTCGATTTCCGCCAACGTCGCCGGCCAAACACGCATAACACGACACCCATGATAAAACGAGAGTAAGGAAAATCGAGACACCGAGTTTAACTCGGACTGTTCGAAGTGTTCTGCTCTGTTCTGCTTCCGCGCAAAAAGGCATATCGGGTAAATAAGTCGATGAACCCCGACGCAACGCTTATGCTCTCCTTTTCCCCTGCCAGTTTTCACGATCTTTATTTATTTATTTTTTCTTTTTTTTTTCTTTAACACGTTGACTGCGTGTTTCCAACGAAATCTCCTTCAGGCCACGCGCTGTATCAAGTGTACTCCAGTATTTGTATATTTTAGTAATGCGAGTCGTGGTCGCAAGAGTGACGTCTCGCATTATTTGTTTCCATCATTACTGTGGAATAGAAGTATTGATGATGGTATTGTTTATTTTGGATAATATATCGAATGCCCTTAGACTAGTAATAAATATACTTCTTAGTTGTGGATTATATATAAATTCTCATAATGACATAGCAAGTAATGGTCAGAGCACGATATGTTCATAAATTATTTAATTGCTGTATTATTATGAGACTCGTGATATCTTAAAATTAGAAGATTTAGAAAATTGTTAGCTGCAAAATTATTAGGATTATCTGAAAATAGAACAAAACATTGTCAAAATCTTCAACGGAATCAACATAATATTGTCGTTTGGAAAAATAATTTTGGTTTAAACGTTAGACTATATGCAAATTATGTTATTCAGATAAAAGACGACAAACTTTTGTCCAAATTATCTGGATCAACTTTTGTACAGAATGTTTTATAATCAAAATAATTTTTTTAATAAATTATTTTTTTAACAATTTAATAGTTTTATTACAAAATATCTTTCCAAATACCTATAAAAATCGTTCATAAGTAGTCAAATAATATAACAAATAAATCACGTTCGATTTACGGATCGTCTTTAAAATTATGATTAAAGTAATAATTAAAAAAAAAAAGAAAAACATCATCGAAATTTCCTATTTAATTGTACAAATACAAGATGATTAATTTTATAAACGAATAGAACGTTTATGGGAAAAATTCAAGGATGAAAGGTACAATGACATTCAATGAGAACTTTTGCTGTCACCCGAATGGGTTAACGTGTTAATCCATAAGTGGATAAATTATTATATTTTTATCACGATTCGAGTAAAATTTTGTCGAGAGAAAAATTACAAAAGATGATCCTCTAGCTATTAAAAAAAAATAATCACACAACGTGTTAATTTATATGAAAAAAGAATCACTCGACAAATACGATACAATTCAACATTAATCGTTCGATTTATGGATCGTTTTTAAAATTCCACAAATTACGATTATAAAGTAACGATTAAAAAAACATCATCGAAATTTCCTATTTAATTATACAAATACAAAATGATTAATTTTATAAACGAAACATTTATGCCGGGAAAAGGATAATATCCGATGATTAAATCCGAGATCTCGATAACCGCTTCCCGCCATTTTTCCCCGGGAATTTTAAACGGGTTCCTCGTTCGACGATTTGCCAGTGTCGCCGCAGACGAGTCGCATTAAATCTCTTTTGTATTCTTTTCTTTTGTTTTCGATTTATCTTGCATCTTTGTTTAATAATAAAATAAAAATAATAATAATACTGTAATAAATAAAATAATAATAAATATAAATATAAATAATATAAATATAATAAATATAATATAATATAATATAATATAAATATAATAAATATAAATAATAATAAATGAATATTATGGAATTTTCTTGCGTTATAAAGATTTAAATTCATTCGATTTGATATTATTTGATTGTACTAATTCAATTATATCTCGTTTCAAGTTTTTCAAATAGAACAAGACGATGATATTTTACTATCATTAAGAATTTTATAAAGAGCTCTTAAACTTTATACTAATAGTTTTATTATTTTAATTTTTCTTACCTTTCATTATTTGCAATCTTTTCTTCATTCTTTATTCATTTTCAAATTTCTCAATATAAAAATCTTTCGAAATTCTTCGTTAATTCTTCGTGTTGATATCTCGATTAATTATATACATGGGATAATTTTCACTGTGACACAATCGATTAATATAAAAAAAAGAAAAACATCATCGAAATTTCCTATTTAATTATACAAAAACAAAATGATTAATTTTATAAACGAAACATTTATGCCGTGAAAAGGATGATATCCGATGATTAAATCCGAGATCTCGA